CCCCCTAACCCCCCCTAACCCCTAAGCCCAAACTATGTTATCTTTTAGAAACCTTACAAAGGATGGCATCAGTCATCTTACGGTATTATCAACTACCAATTTTGGATATTAAATTAGAAGCCGTTAGGAAACGGAAGATTTTATACATCAAGAAAATTGCTACTCCCGATACTAATGAAAAGGAGTACGAAAATCGACATAAAGCCAGCATCAAACGAATTGAAGATCGTCTAGATCATGCTTCGAAACAGATTACTGACCAGTAACATTACCGATCGATTATCATATTACATATGCTACAACACGCGCATCACATATGCTCATCATATATGCTCATCACATATGCTCATGGTTCATATGCGCATCATATATGTTACAGCATGCATGTGCGTAAATGACTTAATTGATGATTTTAGAATGGATGAGATTAAGCGAGTTACTAGTATTGAACCCACATCAATTGTCCAGAATATGATGTTCATTAATCGGCTACGTCAAAGCGAGAGTAACATGCAGAGAATGCAACTTCAACTTGACAATATATCACAGACCATAAATCTAGTTAGTATCAAAAGAAAGGGATGTGGAGCTTATAGCACACGTGTGTGGCACACACATTTAATATTAATTCTTTATGATTAGCTGAGTGATAGGGTGTCAGAATCCATCGATATCATTAAAGGCAGGCGGACTGACCCAGCCGCAATCATCTTGAAGGTCGAGCAGTCCGTTCAATAGCAGCGCACACTCGGCGCGATATGACCGGTCAACTATGGTGGAGTATTTGGTAATGATATGTTGAAGGAATCTGACGGACGTTGGGCCTATGTATTTTGTTTCCATGGGACTTGCGTTTTTTTGCCCGTCTTTTTTCATTGCTGTCAAGTTTGGGCTCGGATTGACGGCGGAAGACAGCAGTGCTTGGTATGTAACAGCATCATGAGAGGTGGTTCTTAATGTGGAGCTCCAAGACATAGGCAGTGGGTCTGTGTACTGTTGTATAATGCCCTTGCGTCCGAGAGTTTCGTAATCACTGAAAGACTGTCGCGTGAAGTATCGCGTCCGTGGGAAAGATGGCGCAATGTCGATCTTCAATCCTTCTTCACGTTTCTTGGCAGGTACCTGCAGTCCCCCCACACTTAGGCAGTAACTCAACCCTGTCATCGGCGCGCAGACGGTAGCGCTGGCATTGTAAGCAAGACTCGACACGTCATACTCATACACCACTCGCGGCAACGTAGTCCTCTCTTCGGCACTCCTCTCTTCGGCACTCCTCTCTTCGGTCCTCGAGTTCGGGGTCGCGCCACGACAAGAGTTTTTATTCGCGGCGGTCGAGCTGCCGGCTAGCTGAAGTGCCGCAGACACCAACGGACAGAAGGACGTGGTCAGTCGGGCCCAGTGAGCAGTGGTGGCTCGCACGTCTCGACAGAGGGCGTTCATCAGGAGCGAGCTTACGAACGTCTTGTCGTAGTTTGTATTTAGGTCCAATGTATGTGTAGATGGTGTGCAACCAGACAAGGTGGCCCCCCCAGACAAGGTGGCCCCC